TTTTGATCAATTTAAGCAGCCATGTAAAAAACTTAATAATGCAATTGATATCCTTATGATTTGAATAATTTAAGTACATTTGGATAAATGAAAGAAGAAATTTTATTTTGAAATCTTTTAACAGAATGGGAAAAATAGAACTTGGTCTTATATATTATTAAAAATCTTTCACTGTTTAAACAGATTATTATAATCTCAAGTAGCGCTATTTTAGCATTTATTTTAGAACATAAAAAGGAAAAGAATATATAATTATATATATGGGTTGATTGTTAGGAAAATCAGATTCTGGAAATTTTTTAACAAAATTAAGATTTTTATTGCATTTTAGATTTTGATGTTATTAGATTAAAATGCATTTAGCTTTTAATTTTAGTCAAAAATTTCTCAGAATCTAAATTTCTTAAAATTCTCCAATATATTCCACAAAACAAATTAAAAGAAAAGAAATAATTTATGGAAGTTCTGTAGTAGATAATGTAGAAGAAAAATCTTCATCAAAAAAAATTTGTGTATATATTATAATTTATTCTATGTGATATATATTTATTTATATTCAATAAATAAATTTTTTTATTTTTATTAGAAATCAGAACTGGTTCACTATTGGAAACTATAAAGTTAGAAATATACAAAAATCTTCCAAAATGTGAATATCATATTCAAGGATACTTAAATGTAAAAGATGGGCATCATCTTAAATTAAATAGCAATATGATTACAGTTTAGGCCAGAGCATTAGTAAATAATTAAGATTTTAAATTCTAATTAAAAATCTAGTTAATTAATAAAATTTATATTACTAGATTGCTAAAATTAATAGAGTAGATGTAAATAATTCACCACCAACTAAGATTTTTGATAAAGTTAATTATTATTATCCAAATTCTAAAAAATATTTGAGAGATCATAACGATAATATACTTACTGATGATAATTTTTATTATAAAAATATAATATATTTATATCAAATTATTTTATTATATTTTATATAATGCATATATTTTAAATATTCAATGCCAATTTCTCCTATTTAATCTCTGAAAAAAATAAAGCCCAGTTTAGCTACTGTTTATCTTAAAAAAAAATTCCTATACAAGACAAACATTCAAATAACAAAGGGAATGATATTTCAAGATTTTACAAATTTTGTATTTCTGACAGGTCCACCAGAAGGAAAAAGATTTATCACTAAATCTTCACTAGATACAGATAAAAAGTATTTTTATCAGAGCAAACAATTGAAGAAGTATTTTATGAATTGTATGTTCATTTATGGATAGAAATAGAAAAAATAACAATTAATTTTGATGAACTTTTTGATGACGAATAAATTCTTTTTTATTATTCTTTAATAAATTTATTATTAATTATTTTAAATATATCTACTATGTTTAAAATAAGCTTTGGATAAATTTTTATTTATAGTCATATACGCGAAGTCTAAATCTTATATAGGGTTTTGCATAATTTCAATCCAATTTTTATTTTGATATAAATAATTTTTATATAAAAGAAAAATTATTCAATCTAAATATATAAGAAGAAAATTAAATTTATATTAGTGTTAAATATATTGGTAATAATTAAATAAAAAATAATAAAATATTTATCTAAATTTTATACTAGATTGAAGTCTGGTGAATATAATGACAAATATTCTATTCACACTCCATTTTGATTACAAATGTCAAGTAAATGCTGTCCCTTATGAATAGATGCATTATCTAGTATCAAAACACTATAGGGACCTGGATATACATTCATCTTAGGAAGCTTTGATAATAAAAATAAAATTATAATATTTTGTTAATATATAATTGATATTTAATATTTACAAAATATAATAATTACCAAAATATGCTCAATAAAATAATTATAATCATTACTGTTCATGGGTCTTTCTTGAATCATATAAGCTAAAAGACCATTAAGACATAAACCTCCCTCTATGGTATATCTTTTTCCACGAATATAAAAAGTAGGTTTACAAGCACTCCTTCCTCTAAAATTCTATCCAAACTGATGAGAAAGTGTTCTTTTATCATATGCTGACTCGTCAGAAAATACAAGTTGTGATGGGGAATATTGCGACATGTGTGCAATAAAATTTAATCTCTCATTTTCATTACGTTCTTGTGCTGGTTTAGACTACTAAAAATAAATTAATAAAATAAGATAAACATTTAACTAAATCCACATTTTTATTTAAAGTTTTATGTATAGCCAAGTTGATGTATAGCTCTCCAAATTGAACAATAACTAATCTGATGACCTAACCATAATTCCATTTCAGATTGTAATTCCCATAAATACCAATCTACCTTTTCTTTCAAAAGACTTTCTAAATATTTTGTATCTTCAGCTTTAAGAATTTTGACCGTCCTGATCCTAATGGCAATAATTCTTCCACGCACCCATACTTTTGAAATGTATAAAATCTCTATAAAAGAAGATTTACTAATTTTGAATTGTCTTGCTATATTTCTACAGGAAAAACCTTCTAGGGTCCTTTCAACTATTAACCAACGAAAATGATCATTAATTTTTAAATTTGGCATTGCAGTGGCATAACCAGTGGCATAAGCATAGAAATGAAATTAACTAAAACGCGATACACATATCAGTGATCACGTGTTTATTTATGTTTTTCAAATTGCCGACAACCTGACAACCCGACAACCCGGTAAGTTCTTGGCAAAATTTCGTCATGTGTCCCGTACATTATGAAATTAGCTGTAATAAAAAATTTTATATGTAAATAATAACGATGTGATTGGATTGGCTTTTAAGGAGTAATTCATTATAATCTGATCTGTTAGAAGTAAAAAGAGAATATAAAATTTTAGTAAACCAAGTAATGACGAGAATAAGGTTTCCGGCAAACCCCAGAGGTTTCGACAGGCAACGAAATCGAAACCCGTCGAAACGTTTTACTAAATTTTTTTATTAAAAGCAAAATTGCGAAAGTTTCGACGGATGGTAAAACCCATCGAAAACTTCTGATATCAAAATACAATATTTGAATTAAAAAATTTTTATTATTTTTATTTTACGAGATAGCAAATCGTATATGGCAAAGCTCACCTTCTTTTATAATATCAAGTCCAGTTACATCATTTATCTCCCAATTAGTATTCCTTCAATTTAAACTCATGACAGTATCCATCATCTAGAGGTTGGAACCTGATTCGATATTCGGATTAAATCCGATACACAATTTGCCCAGCACAAAACCGGATTTATTATATCCGAAATTCCCCGGTGCAGTTGCATTAATTACACATGATAATCCTATAAAAGTTAAATTTCAGATTTCCCAATTAAGTATTTTCATAATAATCTTATCAAAAATCAATGTTAGTCATAAAGACGAATCATTCTAGTCATCGTGCTGCATGGCTGCATGAGAAGAAGTTTTTAGCTCATTTCAATTATTTCTGTGAAGAAAACAACTTGTTCCTTTTTAACCATCAGCTACGGTTTTATGTTTTTCAAAAAAAGATCATCACTATTTTTTTTATGTGCGACGATATGATAAAAAAAATAATTACCGATTTTTTAAAATTAATAAATCCGAACATAAAAAATAAACCCGGTTCCAACCTCTATCATCATCTTTATAAAGGTAATTCTTCTAATTCTTCAACAAGTTCTTGCGCTTCCAAATTTAAAACCTGCTCGATAAATAAGTTCTAATAGCGGGATGGTAGAAAATAACATCTTCTGAAAATAGGTCAGCATTAAGAGCATTATTATCAGAACTTAATCAGGAAGAAGTAATCAAGACCACTTGATGTCCGTTAACGTTAACGTCCGAAATGCGCATTTCGGACATTAACATATTTGGCAATAAATGATCGACTGTTACACAAACGAAGCGGCAACAAATGCTTTGTCGTTTTTAATTTAAAAAAAAATATATAATAACACAATTTTACTTAACTCAATCACAATTATTCTTAAAATATGAAGTCTAATATCGGTAAAGAAGTTATCGAACAAATTAAAGATTTTATCCATTATAAGTTGACTACTGAACAACAATCATTAATTGATAAATTGATACCAAATAACGAATTGAAAACCAGGTATACATTTCATGGGCTATGTGAAGACTGTGGCCAAATCTGTACCGCTCATGATTGGTGTCAACTTTGTAATTCGAACCGCTTGAAACAAAACTTTGGCAACTGGACAAGCGGTAATAAAGAAATCGATGAATTTATACAAAGTATTCAATTAAAAGCAACTCGTTCTCAAGAAATATTAGAATGGATCCCTTATAACAAATTCAAAGATGTTAAATTCCTCGCGAAAGGAGGATTTGGTACCGTATATAAAGCACATCTGGATGAGGGAGTTATTGTCGAATGGGATCATAAAAAGAATGATTGGACAAGAGCTGCCGGAAGAAATTATGTTTTAAAAGATCTAAGTGATTCGCAAAATATGACTGCAGAATTTTTAAAAGAGGTAAATGTTAATTGAATCATTAAATTAAGAAATATGAACAATTTATTAACTTCAATGAATGTAATAAAATTTAAAATGTATAGATTTGTTTCCACAATTTGTTCGAATTTCCTATCGTAAACTCTCAAGGAATTTCTCAAGATCCAATTACTAAGAATTATATGATGGTAATTGATTTTATTGATGGCAGTAATATGAGAAAATACTGTAAAGATAATTTTAATCATATATATTTAAATAATAAATTATATCTTTTAAATCGTATTGCGGAAGGATTAAAAGAGATTCATGAAAAGGGGTACGTTCATAAGGATCTGCATCCTGGGAATATATTAATTTACAGTGATTGGGAATGTCGTATTACCGATTTAGGAGTATGCCAACCTGCATATCATCAATCAGATAATCAGAACGTTTATGGAGTCATACCATATTTAGCTCCAGAGGTTTTAAAATGGAAGGATTATGCTCCAGCATCTGATATTTATTCTTTTGGAATAATTGCACAAGAAATGCTTAATGAAATGCCAACATACCATGATTTGCCTCATGACGAATTTCTTGTCATCAAAATCTGTAAAGGATTAAGACCAAAGTTTAAAAGGAAAGTACCACAATTGTTAAAACAGATGATTAATCGATGTTTAGATGCAAATCCATTAGCACGTCCAACCGCTGGTGAATTATGCATAATTTTCCAAAATTGGATTAATGAAGTTTTGAGCAAAAGAGATGCAGAGTTTGCTATGCAATATAATGAGGTAGTGGAACTCAATGAAAATATTGAACCAAATACTATTTCCAGTCCTCAAGCGGTTTACATAAGTAGGCTCCTTGATTTCGATAACCTTCCTGAACCCCAGAATTCCAAATTAATTAATAATGAATTTCATTTAGTTAGTGAAACTTTAGGTAATTATATTTAATTTATAAGTTTGTTTTTGAGAACATTTTATATTATCTTATTAATAAAATTTATTGAACACAGATTCCTTCATACTGCAACAATGATGGATTTGAAGAATTTTTCTAGAAAATCCATTAAACAAGCGCAATTGAATCAAAGGGTTCAGATTTTATTATATGGAGGTAAGCTATTAAAATCACGTTACGATCATATGATTTACTATGTTTGTAACTCGATTTTAATAGCAAAACCTATGATTAAAGTTTATCGAACTCATAATTTTAAACCGAGATTCACTTTGATTTTTCATATAACAAGTTAACTAATATAACTTTCTGGGAATTGCAGTCTATTGTTAACAAAACGAACTTAGCTCTTTACAATTTTATTTTCAAGTGTTGTAACAGAGCATTTAAAAGTTTTTGTCTTTTGAAGAATTTATGAAATTTATCAATAAAAATATTAAAATATTAGATTACTAAATTTTAATGCGATCACTATGTGTTATTAGGTCAGCCAATTGCAAAGTATTGAGTAATACTGGTTTTAAATTGAAATTAATAGACGAAAAACGAAAACTAAAAAAGAAAAAAATACATACACGCCGAATTGCTGCGGTTCGCAGCGCCTAAATAAAAAAAAATAAATAATGAAAATATTTAATCGACTATTGTTTCACTAAATAATTATATTCAATAAAAACGAAAGCGACTGTAGAATGGAATTAACATGACGAGAAAGCAAAGTAGAAAGGTAATTTAACTGATATAATTAAACTTGGAAGATGGTTAATTTTATAAATATGAATAAGGGACACCAGAGTTTAAATAAATAACGTGACGTTTAAAAATCACTGTTAAATTTTCGACTTCCCTTCTTCCTTTCACCCTTGTCACTGCAATACTTTATACAATCTATTACAATCAAACTTTAATTTGTAGTATGTTGGGAACATGAACCAGATAATAGACATTAATAAAGTAATTTAGAGCTTAATATTAATGATCCGAAAAGAAATATAATTATAAAAAGTGAAATGAAAACCGATTATAATGATAGTATTGTATTAAATTGTTTTGCTAATGACTTTTAGAAGTGAGTTATTTGATGATATTAATAAATAAAAAACGATCTTTAAATTATCATTTTTTTAGAGGACTACTTTTATAGATGAGAGGTATTTTAAAAATTGATATCATTTAATATTGGTGAATTGAGCCAATAGAAATGATGAGATGTTGTGTAACAACATTAATTCTCCTTATTATATTGTTGTATTCAGGTCTTTCGTTATAAATAATTTTGTATTGTAAGTAAAAGGATTTAATTGAATATAATGACGCTAAATTAATTTAATAATATCAAATCATCCTCAATGTCGTCGCTCTACACTTTCGCAATGTCAATATAATAAACTAAAAAAACTGCGCAAATACGAAAATTAAATAAATATAAACTAAGAAAATCGTGAATTTTTTCTTTATCTTTGAATAAACCAAGAAATGAAATAAATAAGGAGTAATTAATCATATATAGATAAAAACTAAACATTTCTATAAAGTAATTACTAATTTTATTTATTTATTTCTTTTATTTTAAAGTTTGTATCTCAGGTTCAAAATGGGTTAATTACATTTACTGGTAACTTGTAAAAGTGGGAGTTTCTTTTCTTTATACTTCTTGCTTACAAAAGAATTTTAAAAGAAATTATAGTGAATATGTATTTATATGTGTTTCTTTTATTCGAATAATTTTTTTTTTTTTGCTTATTCAGGTTGGATATCTTTGGTCTGAAGTTTATAAAAAAAATAAAACCTGAAATAAAATAAATAAATAAATAAAAATACTCACTTATTTAACTGTCGCAACACCCGATGCAATCAAAACCTGAATGAAATAAAATCGAAAATAAAAATAAAAAAATAAAAAAAAATAAATCTAAAAACTTACTTTCAATCGATTCAACAATAAAAAAAAAATGAAAATAAACAAAGCTTACCTATGTTATAACTTTAAATAGGAAATAAAAAAAAAAATAGAAAAATAAAATAAAGAAATAAAAAAAACTTCATTGCAGAGCAGCCCGAAATATAAAAAATAGATGAAATTAAATGATAAATATAAGAAAAATTAAAAAAACCAAAAAATATAAGAAAAAAATACAAATCTACATTAATTTGATACATGGAATCATCTAAATTTTAAGGAAAAAATAAATAAATATCACGAAAATTAAATGCTAAAAAATTTAAAAATAAATGTCGCGAAATTAATTGTTATCTTGTTATCAAAAGTAAGTGTTAAATTATTTTTGATAAATAAGAGATAATACATTATAGTAATTCAATCAA